AAATTCAGTTCTCTGCATTTCCATATCAGGTTGCAATTAAAAGAGAGACGTCCCTATGGCAATTCACCAGCACTTTAGTGTGAATTTCTCCTAAAGCACACATTTTGCAAAACAAGTTTCCCTAATATAATGCATTTCTATATCTTAATTTTCACCAACATATGCATATGTATGTACCATATTCTCCACCCTACACCTTCCCTGACATTGCAAAATTCAGACAAATGTGAATTTCAAAGATGACTGGGGAAAAAATTAAAAAATTGTCCAGTAGCACCTTAGAGACCAACTATGTAGTTCTGGGTATAAGCTTTCGGTATGTTTACCTTTAAATGTGAACTGGGTTGAATTTCTCCTCTGTCCCTCCTAAGAGATGGAGATGCCCTGCTTACCACCAGGTAAAAATGGATTGTACTCTAGATTTTCATTATGGCTTTTCTAGTTTTAGTTGTGATAGCATTTAAGATTACTTAATGCAGGTTCAGAGCTTGGTGGAATTGGGGCGAGGAGAGAGGAATGGTGGAACAACGCTAATGTACACATTGAAATGCAGAAGATCATGTTTGGAAGAGGAGGCAGGAACTATTGAGAGCACCAGACTAAACCCCACAAATTGTAAAGTTGAAGCAGATGAAAAACAGCAACATAAAACTGTAGCCCTGATGCAAAGAATCGGTCGAGTGTCCTACTTACTAGAATTCTAAAGCAACAAGGACCAAGCATGTAATCAACATCTGAAGGAAAGGCATGGGGATTAGAAACAAATGCAAATATTGCTAGGGAATCTATTTATTATTCAGCTCATTTTACATCCCACTCTATTCCTCAGGCTGAGGAAGCTCAGACTGGGGGAATTATATAAAGTCCACTCAAATGTAAAGACAAACAGGCTCCTGAAATAACCTCAGCTACTGAAATGTTTAAGAAGCTGAAACCATACATCACGGTAGAGCGTTTTCTTTGCATGCAGAAGATTCCAGGTAAGTCTGGGAAATGGGCCCACTGGAAAAAGAGTCACTGCCTGTCTTGTAGAGTAGGGGTGGCCAGTACAGAAAAAGGTCAGAAATGATGAAAGTAGCATTTCATCAACACCTGGAGGGTCTGCATCCCTGCTGCAGACCATTCTGATTTGTATTCATTTATTAGACACAGCCCAATGAGACAACAAGAACCCACCGACAACACAGGAATTGATATGGCTAACTTGACCTAACAACACACACGTGCCCATGCAAACAAAACTCACTGAAGCCAACTGAAGTCAACTATCATGCCCTGGGCCCCCCAACCTCTCTCACCCCCAATGAAATTTGCCTTTTTCGTGGCTGCTGCACACGGAGGGGATGCTTTCACTGGGCTGCCCACAACAACCCCCTAGACCAGCCTTTCTCAACCTGTGGGTCCCCAGATCTTGTTGAACTACAACTCCCATCACCCCTAACTAGCAAGGCCAGAGCTCAGGGATGATGGGAGTTGTAGTCCAACAACATCTGGGGACCCACAGGTTGAGAACCGCTGCCCTAGACAATGCATGCCAGTGCCAGCCACTGCTAGCTTAGATCCCCTAATCTGAGGAAGGGGAGTGGAAAAACAAAGAATTCAACCCCCCGCCATGTCTCTCCATGTAACATGTGAAATATTCCAAGGAAAGTAATATAGGAAGTTGCTTTATATTGAGTCTGACCATTGGATCATCTGGCTCAGAGCTGTCCGCACTGACTCTTGGTGACTCTCCAGGATTGCAGACTTGGTATTTCCCAGCCCTACCTGGAGATGCTAAGGATCGAATCTGGGTCCTCTTGAATGCCAAGCAGATAGAATCATAGCATTGTAGTGCTGAAGAGGCCCAAGGGTCATCTATTCCAATCCACTGCAATACAGGAATCTCAGCTAAAGTATCCATGACAGATGGCCATGCAATCTCTGCTTGGAAACCTCCAAGGAAGGCGAGTTCATCACCTTCCAAGGTGGTTCCATCAATGAGCCATGGCGCTTCGCTAAGTGAAGTAAACATTGTCCATTGAGGTCTGCTGTAGAAAATCTAAGGGCTTCATGTAGACTATCTACGCCCACCTGGAAAAGTTTTCTGCATAATCCATATGGAATCCAACCTGAGCTGACTCTGAGAGATTTAATAAATCACGATGTGGGCTTTACCTAGTTTCCTTCTCAGTATGGGGCATATTCATTTGGGCGTGGGAGGACTGCATAAAACCTTTTGATTTACTGCAGTGCACTGTGGTTTGCTAGACAAGAGTTTCTCGGTCTCTCAGAGGAAGCCATGACAGCTAAAACGAAAACTAAAATGACTTCCTTTCTTTTTTTCTTTCTAACTCCCACAAGTGCTTGGGTACAGCAGTTTTGTGGCTGTTTAGATTCATGACACCTGCAGTGTGTGGTCAGGAAGGAAAGAAAAATATGAATAGGTGATATTATTTATCAGGGCGGGAGGTTTTGGAACCTCTTGCCAAGTATTATTCTAGCCCACTGATAGGGTCCATGAAGCCCATAAACCGAATGTGGGGCAGGGGGTTCAGGGGATGGGAGATGATTGCAAAGCAGTCAGAACATAAACACAGGCAGCACCATTTGCTGAAAGTCTTTTTAAAAATTGTATTCAGTATTAATTTTCCCAGTAGTGATGTATGGAAGTGAGAGCTGGACCATCAAGAAGGCTGATCGCCGAAGAATCGATGCTTTTGAATTATGGTGCTGGAGGAGACTCTTGAGAGTCCCATGGACTGCAAGAAGATCAAACGTATCCATTCCTAAGGAAATCAGCCCTGAGTGCTCACTGGAAGGACAGATCGTGAAGCTGAGGCTCCAATATTTTGGCCACCTCATGAGAAGGGAAGACTCCTTGGAAAAGACCCTGATGTTGGGAAAGATGGAGGGCACAAGGAGAAGGGGACAACAGAGGACGAGATGGTTGGACAGTGTTCTCAACATGAGTTTGACCAAACTGCGGGAGGCAGTGGAAGACAGGAGTGCCTGGCGTGCTCTGGTCCATGGGGTCACGAAGAGTCGGACATGACTAAACGACTAAACAACAACAACATTAATTAAGAGAAATGTGAAGCGATCAATCCTTTTAGTTTTTGCTGATTACATTTTGTATACAAACTCTGTTTCCAAAGCCAAAAGGCATAATTTCTTGGTTTGTACTTAGCATATGTTCTTTCTGGTGCCACTGAAGACAAGTGACAGCAGTATGAACTGAACTGAAATGCCGGGTAATGCCAAGGGAAATGGTGGTGGGGCTCCCAGATCCTGCTGCCCAGGGGCTCAGGGAGCTTCCTGTTTCTGAAACTACAGAGACAATAGATTGGATCCAAAGATTCCCTTTCTTTTGACAACCTCCTTCCCCAAACCCAAAGGAAACTTCCTAGCGTTGAATCAGACCATCGGTCCATCTTGCTCAGCAGCTCTCCAGGGTTTCAGATAGGAGTCCCAGCCCTATTTGGAGATACTGGGGACTGAACCTGGGACCTTCTGCATGCAAAGCAGGTGCTCTACCATTGAGCTGCTTAATGCTAATTTTCTTCCAACGGCCATCTTCTTGCAAGAAAAGGAGTCTTTCTGTGATAGGAAGACTCCTTTCCTTCAAGGAAGGGAACCTTTGGAATCTTACCCGGTTTGCATTTTCAGCCAGCCCCTGTAGCTATGTTCTGGATCTTAGCAAGTGAAAGCTGATGTGCAGAAAGGAGTCAGTTTTGCTTTTCGCAGCAGGAAGAGGAAGGCATGAGACGAATCTCTGGTCAGTTGGCAACCCTAATTGCTGCAGCATCCCCAAGGAAGCATATTGATGCATAGCACATGGAGCCCAAGACAGCCCTGTATGAATACCCCAAGCTCATAACGAGGGCTTATTTGCAGAATAAATGCCTCACTAAACACAAATTGTTCAATAGAGGCAGATCTGTGTTATGTCCAGGCTTGTACTGTTTGGAGGAAATGGGCTTTCAGGTAATTAACACTGTATTTTTCTTGTTTTGATTCTAGGAAGAGGAGACGAGAGAGATTTGGGGGAGAGGGGGGAAAACAACCCCAAACAACAAGCAATGAATGATGGTCTTGGTAATCCATTAGGAGTAAAAGGCTAGTGAGAACTGGGGAAATGGTAAAGGTAAAGGGACCTCTGACCATTAGGTCCAGTTGCGGACAACTCTGGGGTTGCAGCGCTCATCACAGTTTTCCCAATCTTCAAATTGTATATTATGTCCTATATCTTGTGCCCATTGAATTTTAAATCTGTTTTCCAAATCTTCAAATTGTATATTATGTCCTATATCTTGTGCCCATTGGATTTCACCTCCTCACTCTTTTCTGGACTTCTAACCATATTCAATACAGCAGAACATCAACATCTGGGGTGGAATTCTGAAGAGATGGATGCTCTTAGCATCTCTGCTAAATACCAGAGTCATATGAAGTTCCTGTTGGTCAGTCTGTCCTCCCTGGTCAATCACATGAAACGTCTGTGGTTCAGTTATCCACACAATTGCATGGCAGGCAGCTGAGGGTGGAAGATCTAACAAAGTTTGGCACTGGCTTGCCAGCTCCCCCATTCTTTTCCCTACTTCTGAGAAATCTTCTGTCACATCGTGACCTTGGAGAGCTCAGGGATCAAAAACTCAGAAGCCTCTCAGACCATGTTATTCAAAATCTATTATGTCTCCCAATTGCTGGAAGCAACAGTCCGACAGCAAACAAACAACTCATCAGCCAGCAATTCAACATCAGCTCCTATCTAATTATCTTGCTGCGGACTTACATAAACCCCATTGCTACCATTTCACAGAACCATAGAGTCTTAGATCTGGACCCTTCTGGCTCTCCTAGGGGAAGTGACTGTTCAGAAGCTCCCTGCAAAATTACTTTAAAATGATAGCTTTGATGGTCATTAGCCATTAGCCACATAGCGCCCTTTTTGCTTCTGGGAAAAGCCCCAATGTTGATAAGCAATATGGTTCTTGATTCAAACAATGCAGATATAATAGTGCAAATTTAGAAGGTGAGTGACAATGGTTTTTAGTGGAAATTTCTGAAAAGCATGCAAACTCCATTACATTTGGACCATATATATATATCTATATGTGTGTGTGTGTGTGTGTGTGTGTGTGTATATATATATATATATATATATATATATACTGGCTCACCACCCTCTATGTCTGAAGTCAGGGTGGGGAGAAACTCAGTTTGGTTCAGATTTCAGTGTGAACCTAACTAATATGAACTTTCCAAAACCGTATGTGAACCAAATCACAGCTATCCTTCGAAATCTACACTTGATGAAATGGTTCTCCAGGCGGAGAACGTGTACAAAATGTTTATATTAGGGGAAAGCAGGCCAATACTAATGAAAATAACATTTATGGATGCGCTGCATTAGGGAAAATTACATAGAAAAACGAGTGCATGAGAAAAGTGCACTAAATCAATTCTTCAAATCAGGGTCATCTAGTCCAATGCCCTGCGATGCAGGAATCGTTTGCCCAACATTGTGCTCGAACTCACAACCCTGAGATTAAAAGTCTCCTGCTTTACCGACTGAGCTATCCTAGCCACACTAGGCATATGACTCTTTCTGCAAGATGCATTGGGTGGCTGAGGCAGGAAATGGTTGCCCAGACTTCTGCTGTGTTGGGTGCATATTTAAAAGCAGGCCATCTGAAAACCCAGCTGTGCATTAAAGATAAAGGTAAAGGGACCCCTGACCATTGGGTCCAGTCATGACCGACTCTGGGGTTGAGGCGCTCATCTCGCTTTATTGGCCGAGGGAGCCAGCATACAGCTTCCGGGTCATGTGGCCAGCATGACTAAGCTGCTTCTGGTGAACCAGAGCAGCGCACAGAAACGCCGTTTACCTTTCCGCCGGAGAGGTACCTATTTATCTACTTGCACTTTGATGTGCTTTTGAACTGCTAGGTTGGCAGGAGCAGGGACCAAGCAACGGGAGCTCACCCCGTCACAGGGATTCGAACCGCCAACCTTCTGATCGGCAAGTCCTAGGCCCTGTGGTTTAACCCACAGCGCCACCTGCGTCCCACTGTACAAGGGTAATACTCATGAAACTGGGCCCAGTTTTGTCTCTGGTCCGAACCACCACTGGTATGCATCCCCTGGAAGGCTGCTCACATAGGATTGTGGCCCTTTCCCCTTGGGTAACCCTGAAGTTGGACATGGGAGCAACAGGCCACTCCCACTGATGCATTTCAGCAACTGGTATTCAGAGGCATTTTTGCCTCATACAGTCATTATGCTTAGAAGCCAGTGGTTTTTATTCAGAAGAAAGAGACGTACTCCTTTTACTCAGAATGTAACTCCGTGGGACTTACTTCAAGGTTAAGCGTGCACAAAGGTGTTGCTCTCAAGATGTTGTTGGACTCCAAATCCCATCAGCCCCGGTAAGCATGGTCAATGGGTGTGAGGCATCTGATCAAGGCCTGTATTTTAAAATGAGCTTAAAGATATATTTGCAAATGTTTGTATGTTTCATGCCAGGCAGAAACCAGCTGGCTAAGTACTTTGGCAGTTGTTTATCTTCCTGCTCTCCTGAACAAGCCCCCCCCCCCCCGATTTATAGCAGTAGCAGGAGACAAGTTTCTCAAAGTTGTAAAAGGGAATTACAGGCTGGGAGCAAATGTTACACTGACCCTACATATTACAGAATACAATCAAGCTGCAAAAACACTAATTAAGAGTTGGTAAATAGTAAGATTTATTGTTTAACAGAAAATAGTACCATGTGCCTCCCATCAGACTCTAGCCATATTTTCCTAAGGTTTAAGGTATACTGAGAGAGTTAAAGGGCAATAAATTTTGGGAAGAGCTAATGGGAAAAGCAGCTGGCTGGGAAAGGAGGGTGTAAACTGAAGAGGCTTCTTTTGAAGCTGTTTTTACTGAGTTCCTTTTTACTTTGCAAAGGCCTTTTCTTCTAAAAAGCTATCTATGTTATGTATGAGATTTGTTGGCTTAATGTAATTATGCAAAGGATTTAGAAAGTAAGAAATGTTAGATTCTTATGTTAGATTCTTATTTCATTGATGGTGTGTGAGAATGTGAACCCAAGATCTCTGTTTAGACAGAATTTAATACCATGAGCCATTTGTTTTAGCCATTTGTTTTGGAATGCAGGGGCAACAGGGGCAAAAGGTGATCTGGTAATTAAGGTGCCTTGTCGAGGCAAATGTAAGATATATGGCTACTTGTCTGCCATTTATGGATAGAAGGAAATATAGCTCTTTGTCTCCCATAAAAGGTAATAGGAAATGGGTGTATCTTTTATGATTGGTTCTAGCAAACAGCCAATAGGAATTTCAACCAGGCTGATTGGACAGAGGCAGCCAAAGGAGGAGCAAGGGGGCTGGGCTGAGGAAATATAAGTGCTGGCCATCAGGGCTGGAGGGGGCAGAGCTTTGGTAACCATATACCACTGTGCCTATCATTTATTTGTCTGACAAATAAATTATTATTTTAATTTCTCTATTGCTGCGTTGAATATTTCATTCCAGCTAAGCGTTAACCACAAGCAGGGTGCTACAGGTGGAGGTGACTGGGGATATAGTTCAGAAACATTTGGCAAGCCAAAGGTTCCCCAGTAGTGGTGTATATGTATGCACTCTTGCCTATTATCTATTTATTTTGAAGATTTGTACCCCGCAGGGGTATGTTTTCATTTTGGAATGTATTAAAAACAGCTTTTCTATGTATTTCTCTGTAAAATATGCATTTTGCATGCTCCCCCTTTATATAATATACATATTTATGTGCACCTTTTACATACCACCATGCTGCAAAATTTGGAGAAGTGCATAATCCAGGCATAGGCAAACTCGGCCCTCCAGATGTTTTGGGACTACAACTCCCACCATCCCTGACCACGGGTCCTGTTAGCTAGGGATGATAGGGGTTGTAGTCCCAAAACACCTGGAGGGCCGAGTTTGCCTATGCCTGGTGTAATCCAACTGTAAGCACATCTGGGAGCGTTGGGAAAGGCTGGGTTGCTGGAAATAAGTGTGCTGAACAAGTTGATCTCCCATCTGTAGTGACACAGCCTGCCTTGTACACGCTAAGTTTAATTTGCTACTCTCAGGTGTGCTGCCCCAGGAAGTAAGATTCAGCAGCCAGCTCAGTTGGCTTCTCTGTACATGGAATTGTGTTGAGGATGGCTGTGGTGCTAGAAGCCGTTCCAGTCCTGCATTCATGCACCCTGGGAAAGCCACCTCTAATTTGTTAAGGATAGAGGTGCAGAGATGCAAACAGCCTGTGAAAATGACAGAAAGAAGCCTTAAGTAGAGCCAAGGCAGAACAATGGAACCTCCAGGGAGTGGCTGAATTAGCTGCCTGGATATTGTGCCTTCATTATGAGCTTGGCGGCAACCCCGCCTCCCCCAATAATGTCTATCACCTTGCTGAGTTTTTTTTAGCTTCCCCGTCACCCTTTTGCAGCCGTTGGCACTGATGGAAACTTCAGAAAAGCTGTTTGGAAAACTACACCCCGCTAACAAATGGAACATAAAAGAACGAGATGTGCTGTTTTGATGAAACATTTCCCACCACTGACAACTTAGCCCCTTTGTTCTCTCTTGTCGGTGCTGCCGACTGTGTCCTAAGTGCATATTTAAAAGCAGGCCATCTGAAAACCCAGCTGTGCATTAGGCTCTTTAAATCTTTCAGGAACTTTGTGGCCGCAGCTACTGCCTTTTCACATTCTCCTCCTTTGGGTTGATTACTTTTATCCTTGCTGACGCTTCCCATCTGCAGGAGCCAGCAACTCACAAAGAAAACAGCCCCACCAGGGTACCAGAAAGTGGACAGCAACTCCACTAAAAGGCTATTACCTAATTTGAATGTCCTCCTAGCTTGGAACGCAAGTCACTTGTGTGCTTCATCCGTCCCCCCTTCCACCACCACCCCCTGTCGCTGTTTCAGTATTTTAGAAGACAGGAGAACAAAAGAAGCAGTGCCCATTATTTCTAAAAGCAAGGCTATTTTTTTTAGAAAACTGAAATGTCTAAGCCCCAGAGTTCAAGCTGGTAGAAGCCAGATCAACTGCTTAAGGTTGCAGTTCAACATGCACTGACCTGGAAGAAAGTTCCATTGAACGCAGTGGGACTTACTTCTGGGTAAACATGCGCAAGATTTCTTTGTGGGATTCCGAACCACAGGCATAACCAATGTAGTGCCTTCCAGACGTTGATGGACTACAACTCCCATCATCTCTGGCCACGCTGGCAAGGGCTGATGGGAGTTGTAGTCCAGCAACAACTGCATTTGTAACAATGAACGCATCTCAAAGCGCTGAATTAGATGGAACAATGGCCTGACCCTTTATAGGCCAACATCATACGTTCAGTCTCCTAAAAATACTGTGGAACGTATAAAGCTTGAATGAAAAGGCCTCTGTAGCTTTGAGATTTCAAACTATGCCCACAACATATTTGGATGGGAGATATACCAAAATACCTGCAAACCACCTTTTGTGTATCTGTGCCCAGGGACAAGTGGAAAATATTGTCCACCATGTTCTGAATGAGCCCTCCGGGTATAGAGTGGTATATAAATTCAATTGATGATGATGTATAATTATCCTAAGGATTGGTTTCTCAAATGAATTTCCCAGAGAGTTTTATTCCCTTGAATAACTGGAAGAAAACAGGTATTTGTTGATGGGGGGGAGAGGAATACAGTATATGTAAGATTTCTACATTTGCCCTGGCCACCCAATGGATCTGACAAAATTTCATTGCACAACATGTGGTCTTCTGCGCTGAGGCCCACGTAGGTTAAAATGTACTTCTATCCTGTTTGTATTTCTGTGATAGCAAACGACTGTTTCAATGCCAAGCGGGAACAAGCTTATATTCACAGATACTTGCATCATTTGCGTAACCTGTTATATACAAGTCTCTTGGTACCCGGCTAATTCTCTCCAAACCCAGGTGAGGGGTGTGTGCTTCTTGCTGTGATGTTTCCCCATGAACATTCTTTTGGGCCCAGGGACATTATATGTACTTAGTTTCTGTCAGCTGGCTTTCTATAATTTAATTCCCTGCTTTTCAATCCGTAAGACTCCCAGGGCGGCTCACTGGGCAATTAAAAATGTGCAAACAATAGAGCCGAAAACAAACAGCGCAAACGCAGTCCAGCAGCAAAGAAGACAAAAATAAAGCAAAGAGGAACTGAGCAGTGTGAGGGGAGAATAAAACAGAGCGGGGGGCGGGGAGGGAACTTGTGACCTTCCAGGAGGCTTTGTTTTCCCCAAAGATCTACCGTATTTTTCGCTCTATGACACACTTTCCCCCTCCTAAATAGTAAGGGGAAATGTGTGTGCGTCTTATAGAGCGAATGCAGGAGGGAGGCTCTACTCAGCGCTCCCTTTACAGAGCTGCATGGAGCGTGTGTGTGGCTCTTCGGGGCTTTTCCCCGAGGAGGGAGAAGGGCTGCCCTTCTCTCTGCCGCGGCTCTTGGGGGTGCCTTTCTCCCGCTGTCTGGGAGAGGCTGTGCGCGCAGTGGCGTAGCGTGGGTTGTCAGCACCCGGGGCAAGGCAAGTAATTTGCGCCCCCTAACCAATGGATCTAGGTAGGGGCAGAGAGCTGCGAGTGCGAGTGAGCCCCCCCAGATGTTGCGGCTGGTGCGGCCGGCCCCCCTGCACCCCCACGCTGCGCCACTGTGCGTGCGGCTATCCCATAAGCCAGGACAGCAAGAGGCTATCCCAGAAGCCAGATCCCTCTTGCTGTTCTGGCTTCTGGGATTCAGAATTTTTTTCTTCTTGTTTTCCTACTCCAAAAACTAGGTGTGTCTTATGGTCTGGTGTGTCCTATAGAGCGAAAAATACGGTATGCCTTTCCCAATGCAAGGCAATGCAAAGATCTCCATTACATCCCCCCAAAAATATGTGAGGAAGAGGGAAGAAGTCCACCCTCACCAATGACCCTTGGGTGTTTGTGACATTTTCTCCATCTTAATCTTTTCTGGGGATTTATGCTATTTTTCCCCTTGGAAGGGGCTAACACAGGCTTCCTCAACCTCGGCCCTCCAGATGTTTTTGGCCTACAACTCCCATGATCCCTAGCTAGCAGGACCAGTGGTCAGGGGTGATGGGAATTGTGGTCTCAAAACATCTGGAGGGCCAAGGTTGAGGAAGCCTGGGCTAACAGCAGCCCCAGAATGCAACTGTGGGTGAATTCCTATAGCAAAAAGGAGGCAAAACCAATCTCTTCCAGTTTTGCCCCAAGAAAAACAGACCAAGTAATATGATTCTGTGTTGGTTGGTACTGCGCTCCAATAAAATTTGTAAGTCTGTTGCAATCACTGAGAAATGTTGGGATTGTTTGGTGTAATTCACTGCGTTCCCAGAGCCTGTATTCATGTGACTATTTTCTGACTGAAGTTTCCACCAGCTGTTAGTATAAGCCGTGGCGGTAAGTCTATTTTAAGAAGTTTGCTAAGTGCATGTACCGCTGGCAGCGCTGGGTGGAATATGCGTTGTTCTGGAAAGGGAGTCAAGCAGAAAGCTTCTAGCACCTGATTCCCAACAAAGTCACCCTCGTATCAACTTCTTTCATCTAAAATCCAGGCATCTTACACCATGGTGGAAAGTTTTTCATTTGGGGCAATCTTAAGAGTAACAATTTTCAAAATCCGAGGTGTTATCTTCTTAGGGACACAAATATTAGAGGAAGAGTGTGGCATAGTTCTTAGATTTTTGGACTAGCTCAGTGGTAGAGCACATGCTTTGCAAACAGAAAGTCCAAGGTTCAAATCCCGGCATATGCAGGTATTATTATTATTATTTAAATTTGTATACTGCCCTATACTCATAGGTCTCAGGGTGGTTCAAAGCACTTAACAGCCACTGCCAGCCAGTGTGTAGACAGTCGTTAAATTAGACAACAGGGGTGATTGGGATGTCTATATATTTGGACCCAAAATCAGACACTTTTCTGGAAAGTGGTAACTTCTGGCACTCACAAGGCTGTCACCCCCTTATCCTCACAAATTCCTCCTAACCTTCGGGTCTCATTCTTTCAATCTTTGTATGAGGACGCTGAACCTCTGTTATGGAATTATTTGGACCCTGAGCTTCTTGAAGAAGCCGGAGGTAAAAGACTAACAGGCTGTGTATCCCCCCTGGATTTACTACCGGATCTTTCGGTTTGCATTATGTGGCCCAGTCTACACACCCTTCAGAATATGATAGTAAAACAGATCATGCCACTCTAGACTGCAGGCGGGGGAAATCATATTTCTGAATGCAAGGGGTGGGGTTCACCTGACACCTTCATTGTACACCTTTAGGAGCCAGGTGAAAACGTTCCTCTTTGACCAGGCCTTGGGCTGATTAACATCCTACACCCTTTTAAATGTGTTTGTGCGGGGGGTGGGGGTGGAGGGGGGTTATTGGTTTGTTCCGTTCTTGTTTTTCTATTGTATTTTGTGTTCCAATCATGTATTTTTATGCTGTGAGCTGCCCTGAGATCTATGGATGAAGGGCATTATAGTGGTACCTCAGGTTACATACGCTTCAGGTTACAGACTGCGCTAACCCAGAAATAGTACCTCGGTTTAAGAACTTTGCTTCAGGATGAGAACAGAAATTGCATGCCTGTGGCACAGTGGCAGCAGGAGGCCCCATTAGCTAAAGTGGTGCTTCAGGGTGGTGCTTCAGGTTAAGAACAGTTTCAGGTTAAGAACAGACCTCTAGAACGAATTAAGTTCATAACCCGAGGTACCACTGTATATAGATTTAATAATAATAATAATAATTGCTAGTAGTAAGTAGTAGTAGTAGTAGGAAGAAAAACTAGCACAGCAAGAACCCATCTGGTGGCGAAACTTTCCACCCAATGCATTAGTTTTCTAATTGCAGGGAGTTATGGATGTATGTTCAAAAATGGCATCCTTCACTTGCAGTAAGATTCGATACAGTCTACGCTATTGCCTTTAGGGAGCCAGCTTGTAATGCAGTTTGTGCAAGCAGGCCTCAGAAACAAGATCAGGAGGTACCCTGTGGAGGTATCAAGGTCAGATCGCATGGCACATTGATAATAGGAACGCTACCATAACCTTACAAGCGGTCTCTCCACTCCCATTATCCACAAGAGCTAGTAATCTGCTCTGATTCAAATGAAAGGCAAGGATCTCTAATTGCCACATTTAGCACCCTGTGTCAAATTTCAGTCCTTGCCTGAGAGGGAAGGAGAAAAAGCGCTGTCAGTGGTGTCTGGTACTCGTTGGGACCAGTAGGGTGGAAGGCAGGGAGCTCAACAATAACTGGAATCAGAATCAGTGACTACAGCCAATTTTGTCTCTTTCTTCCTCTCTGCTGAGCTCCAATCTGCTTTGCATCAGTCTCTGGTACTTTCTCCAGAAGGAGCTGACCAGGGTTCTGATCACCTGCAACTTGCCTATTCTCTTTCTAAGTATCACCAGTACCCCTCTGCAGTCCTCACCTATTGGATCTCTCATGCACACCTACAGTCTATACTGGAAACCACCAATCCAGTGAGGGGTTTGTGAGAAGTAATAAAACCACCCCCTTCCTCTATATCACACCGTGCAACAGATTTTAATGGGAAGCCAATCCTGGCCGAAAAGCAGAGTTCAAAAGAGACACACACAATAAATAAATAAAAATGTGCCACATAGATCCAGAGATCAGAAGCAGAGTTATCAGCACAAGCAGCATGGCAGGGACTCTCTCCTGGACACTGCACAACTTATCTGTTCCTATAGGCAAGAATGCCCACCATCGCTGTACATCCCCCACAGCACTTTTGCCATGCCCCATCCATACAGCATCACTCAGCTATCAGTGCACTGACTGCCCCACTGATGTTTTGCAAGAACAGTTCCCCATTAGTTCTCTTGACCCTTCGCATCCAGAAGAAACCAAATTGAGATCATTAAGCCACACGCCGAGGTGCAGTTTTTCCTCCCAGCGGGGCATCCTCATTTCCCTCTCCCTGTCATGCCGACATATTCTTAAGAGCCCATGCTTAATTGGATCTTTGTAAGGTCATCATCTGAGTTAGTTCCACCATGAGCAATCACCACTACTAGGGGGTTGACAAATTGCCTTCCTCCAATTTGCAGTCTTCAAGATGGAGGTGGGGCGGAGAGCGGTGGAAAATGAGAAATGGACGTACTTAAGGAGGGGGTTGCTGTTAAGAAAGACTGGGGGCTGCCTCCCTCCCGCTCATCAAAACTGCCCAGAGTTTGTGCATAAAGTGAGAGAACCATAAAGCATGTCAAAGCTCTTAATTCCTTTCTCTCAAAAGAACCTCTTTACACATACATAATTTTTCGTTCTGTGGAACTACACTAGCCCCTCTTGTATATGGTTACCAGATTGTTTTCAATGAATCCGGGGACACTTTTTTTTTTTTTTTTGAAGCTGAGTAGCAACAGGGAGTCAGTAGTGGGGATGGTGAGGCAAAAGACCCTGGGCCCAAGCACACATGCATATTGTATAAAGGTGCAAAGCTCTTCTTTCGCACCCTGTGAAACATAAATGCGCAGAGTTTTTTTTAAAAACTGGGCAACGGCGCGCCGCGTGCCTGTGACTCCCGAGCCTTCCCCCTTTGTTTTGACAGATCAGGGGAGGATCGGGAGTCATGGGCAGGTGGCCGTTGCCCAGGAGGGGCCAGCCTGTTAGCGCAGTTGGGTCTGGCTGGCTTCAGGAGCTGCTCGCTGCCGTGGCACAGGAAAAATGGCAGGCACCATGGCAGCGAGCAGCTCCTGAAGCCAGCCAGACCCAACTGCGCTAACAGGCTGGCTCTGGGCTGCTGAGGCTGCCACTGCCACATTTCCCGGGGACAGATTTGTGATTTTGGGGACATTCTAGGGACGGAATTTGTCCGGGACAGATTTGCAAATCCGGGGACTGTCCCCGGGAATTGGGGATGTCTGGTAATCCTACTCTTGTAGTGTGTGGCAAATGCTATTCGGAAGCCCCCAGCTGTGGTGGTAGAATACATCAAGCGGGATTAGTGGCCACTGTAGAGCCTCTATGAGAATCCCAGCTGCTGGTGAACAGAAGCTGCCTTTGGCTGTAGAGGAGAACATACCCATTGTGGCAAGAAGCCACTAATAGCATCTATGAGTTTGCTCAATCCTCTTTCAAAGCCAACCAAGTTGGCGTTCATCACTGCCTCCTGAGGGAGTGCATCCCCTAGTTTAGCTCTGCACCCCACCCTGTGGCCTCTATTTACGATGGATCTGGTTGCTGTGGGCTGAGGAGGAATTCTACCCTGAATGGAACCTGGGATCTTGGCATTTTGCCTTATTCATAGCATTCTGTCCTCATCTTAGGCACAGTGTTCCATCATATCATAACTGGTTCTGGTGGTGCATTAGCCAAGGGTGTAACTAGCAGGTAAGCTCCCTGCATAGCCCCACGGGGCATCCTCTTAAGAGTCCTTGGGATTAAGGGCTGGTGGGTCAGCCAATCTCAGGACCAGCACGCAGCTATGTTCCTAGGTTGCAGGTGACAGGCAGATCACCACTGGTTGTCCTAAAGACAGAGGTCTGACTCCCTATAAGTCAGCTTCCTGCATTCCTATGATCTTGGCACATGGGCAGACCTATAAGCAAAGAAGCACTCCTTCTTTGGGTTCCCAAGCCATTTAGAGAAAACGTAATCATGCTGTTTGCCACTGTCATATGAAGAGCACTGCAGGATCAGACCAAAGGCCCATGCTCCCTCCTACTATGACCAACCAGCTGCTTATTGAACGTTCACAAGCACTCTTGGAAGTGAAACAGCACTCTTCTGTTTAAACATACTGCCTCTGATACTGGAAGTAGTATATATTATAAGTCACTTTGGGATGCCTCATGGAAAGCTATGATGATGATGATGATGATGATGATGATGATGATGATGATGATGAAGCCATTGTGGCCAGTAGCCTTTGACAACCTCATTCTCCATCAGTTCAATTCTCTAGTTCCATTTTCTCTGCTGATTTTTTTTTTTGGTCATTTTGTCATATTGCATCCCTACCTGACATAGAGGGAACGTTTCTGATTGGTTCGCAGGGAGCCCGACCCAGAACTCATGCTGTGATTCATCATCTGTTCACGCAGGTCATGGATTTTGGCCTCAAATCGAGCGTACTCTGAAAAATAATGCAAATAGATCAATCAATTAATGAACCCTTAGCAATCACCAGCTCCTCATTACACCCCCCCCTTTTCTTTTAGTGAGACTGATTAAACATGGAAGACTGTGATCATGATAAGGTCGGACCACATGCCAAGAATCTGGGCCAATTGATCAGTCTGCATATTTAAGAAGAATGTGAACAGTCCACCATGTTTAAAAACAAAATAGATATACAAAGCTTCTAAACAGCAATTGCCATGAAAGGAAAGGCTAACTAAAACCTCCAGCAAAATATCACACTGGAATTGGCTAGGCACATGATAAAAGCTGTGTAACGGCAAAGTTTAATGGACTAATCAATTAAGTGATGCAATGAATCAAGACCTAATCATATATTAAGCTGTAATCACTAATGAAGATCTGACATCGATTAAAAATAGGGACGGCAGCAAGCAACGATTCCAGCATTCAAATCAAATCAAATTTATTAAACGGTCACAGACCAGATTAACTCGTACAGCTAGTCAGCGAAGCATAACACCGGAAAAAACAAAGGACATTCCAGCATTCAGTGTGGGGGAAAGAACACAAGAACATAAGACGCTCCCTGCTGAATGAGGCCAGTGGCCCCTCTAGTTCAGCATCCATGAAAATCTGTTGTTTCTGCCCATTCACAGCCCCCATCTCCAGCCTATTGCTACCTTAATTGATTCAGTCTCTAGCTCCAAGGCTCAGGAAAGAGGCAGAAAGGCTGGACGCTCTCTCTGTCCCCTCTCCTAAATATTTGCCTTGTACCCCCACGAAACACCCCTGTCTGGGGCTAAAGGGAACCTAAAGGAGTGTGTGGTTGCACTCAGCTTGTGACCCTCTGGCAAGACTGGCCTACCTAGGCTGGCTGTTGCGGAAAGGTGGGAGAAATATATAGGTGTGTGCTGTCAGAGAAGCTTCTGGTGGTTATGAAGCCATCACTGATTCACACTTCACTTCTATGAAGCCCCACCTAGATGTGGGGCAGCCCCATGTAGTAAGGAACTGCAGCCTTCCTCAAAGTCTTTGCTATTCCCATTTCCGATGCCTGCTAGTGCAACCAGTGCATACAAAGATTATGTGGTCCATTGCAGGCAAAACAGTCCAAATGTGAGATTGATGGAGGACCATTGTTGCAACATCTACTTTGCATCTTCTTCAGGATCACTTCTGCAGTAAAAGAAAGCCAAATGGGCAGCCACTACATCCAATCCAAATTACTTTCTTGTGCCAGCCATTGGCCGTGACAAATCTGAATAAAAAAGAACACAAGCAAAAGGGGTGTCACGCTACATATAATGGTCTTTATTTAGATCTCTGTGTCTCCCTTACAGTTCAATGCTATACTGTCCAGGGTCATCTTTAATAATAATAATAATAATAATAATAATAATAAATTTTATTTATATCCTGCCCTCCCCAGCCGAAGCCGGGCTCAGGGTGGCTAACAACAATAAAACAGCACAAAAGTACAGCACAAACAACACTCTAAAATCATTCATTATAAAATTAATTAATTCAAGCCACTGGCAACCACTGGGCCAGAGCTCCGCGAAGATTGCCGAGGGAGGGAGTCAGGCTGTGCCCTTGCCAAAGGCCTGGTGGAACAGCTCTGTCTTGCAGGCCCTGCGAAAAGATGTCAAGTCCCGCAGGGCCCTGGTCTCTTGTGACAGAGGGTTCCACCAGATCGGAGCCACAGCTAAAAAAGCCCTGGCTCTAGTTGAGGCCAGCCTAACTTCTCTGTGGCCTGGGACCTTCAAGATGTTTTTATTTGAAGACCGTAAGTTTCTCTGTGGGGCATACCAGGAGAGGCGGTCCCGTAGGTACGAGGGTCCTAGGCCGTATAGGGCTTTAAAGGTTAAAACCAGCACCTTAAACCTGATCCTGTACTCCACCGGGAGCCAGTGCAGCTGGTATAGCACCGGGTGAATGTGATCTCACAGCGAAGACCTCGTAAGGAGTCTCGCTGCAGCATTCTGCACCCGCTGGAGTTTCTGGGTCAGTCTCAAGGGCAGCCCCACGTAGAGCGAGTTACAATAATCCAGTCTGGAGGTGACCGTCGCGTGGATCACAGTGGCTAGGTCAGGGCGAGAGAGGTAAAATGGTGACTTTATGAACCACTGAAGTGTTTACATCACTAAGAAGCCAAAGGACCTTCTCTGCAGGGAAGAGACATCTTTTCTGTACGGAGAATGGTAAGCCTCCTGGGTCCAATGTATAGTGGGCAATGTAGTAAACTGTGCAAGATGTCTTCCACCTGTGGTTGCTCACATATACAGAGTCTGTCTTCGTACAGTACCCTGTTATATTGTCCATCTAGGATGCCAGAGGGCATAGCTTGAAAACGCAACTCAGTAAAAGCGAATCTAAGTGAGGCTGGCTGGAGATTTGACAGCCACTACACAAAGTCTCTGTGTCTTCATATTTTCTTCCTTATCACATTAGGTAACATTCCCTGATATCACACTGACTAAATGACTGCAGGAAAGAACCAAAGTGGAGAAATTAAGTAACTTACACACTCTACCTAACTAAATGCATAAATTACATTGTCATTACATTATTCCAACCCATTCATTTCAATGAAAAGGCAACGCAACATATATTGGGGTGGGTGGGTGGTGGAGATGGAAGCCGTGATTGACTACATATCATTTACAGACCAAAAGCAACCACGGGAAATACCGATCGAATTTGCTGCACTATTTTCCGTTCCGGATATAGGACATGGGAGGCATAAGCAAACATCAGCATTTTTTGTTTCTGTATTCGTCGCAATCCTTTGACCTCTCCGTCTGTAGGTTCCCCATCACTTCCCTGCTACATGGAGTGGCGTATCCACTGGCCCCACCCTGGTCCCACTAGCCTGGAGATGTACTAAATCAGTACAGTGGTACCTTGGTTCCTGAACAGCTTAGGTGTCAAAGAGGGACAGAGGCCAGTGTTGCCCACAGCACCCCTGACAATCATTCAAGACACCCCAAGGTACCATGGCACACTGGTTGAAAACCACTGCATTAGCCCATAACTGGCAAAATTTGACCACCACAATTGCAACTGCGTCCCTGTGGCTTTGTTCTAAGCTACACTATTTCCATGATTTTGAATTCCTATTCTCCCCAGCCCTCTACTTTTTCACCATCTGCAGCATTTCCAGGTTCAGATGGCAGCTCCGGATCTCTGTCCACAAATCTCCTATCATGTGAGAACATTTTTATTTGAAGGCTCATGAAGAGAGTACTCTTGAGCATGTACTGATAGACTGCCCTCTTCCCATCACCACCAAGGCCATCACCTTCCTCACGCTAGCCTGTACGTGCAAGGAGAGAATAGTCCTTCTCTCTTTCTCATTCTGAAAGTCTTAAGAGCTGAACTTCACTTCTACAGAAAGCTTGAAACTCATTTCCAGAGGACTCTCTTTGTAACATCTGAAGTGGCTCATTGTCTGTACCTTGTCCCTTGACTGCAGATGTTCCAGCTAGCTAGCTAGCTAGCTTTAGTTCTATATAAAGATCTTTCATTTTCAGCACAGCCTTTCTCTTTAATAAATAATGTAGAAATTCCATGCAAGTAGACGTGGGAGTTGACATCTATATTTAGACTCCAATGGGCAGAGTGAGGAGTAAGATCCAAAAGCTAAGTCTTGGATAATGCAGTATCAGATGATCGGCAGTTTCCATTCTGAGCAGAATTGAACTCCCACATGAACTTGAGCAATACAGTATTTCTTTGCTCTAGCCCCCCGCCCAGCCCAGTTCACGTGGATATACCCTGCGAGACTGCATTTCTGTTCAAGGATGTGCAAAACCTTTCACTCGAGCTTCAAGGTTATTTCTTCCTTCTTATATCAGCATGACACCACACATTTGGAATACATCTTTGCAACAGTGGATTTGAAATTTCCGCAACATGGATCCGAATCACTGATACACAGGGCATACAGTATGTCTTAAGAGCCACAATTGTGCAGCATGTTGTATTCACTTTGTTTTTCAAGGCTATTTGTCCTTTCTGACATTGCGTGTTCAGAACATTTATCTGCAAAACCGGATCTGAACAATTGCACAAATCACCATTTCACATGGCATGTCCAGAACTGAGCACCAGGTTGATCCTTCAAAGGGACAGTGGTATATTTTGCTGTTTTGCAACTTTGAACTCACTGATAGGCATTTAGGTGCAGAATTCCTAAACCCAGAACTGGAGTACAGCTCAGTGTGAATTTCAAAAAGATGGCTGTGCTTTAGTGTTCATATTGTTTTAAAATGTGAAAAGTTCACTGTTAAATGCAAACTGTCTCTCCTCCATCCCTGATCACAATTGCCTGAGCTGAGAAGGTGCTCAAAGGATTTTTATTCTTTCATTCTTAGCCTTGCAGAGCCACTCTTCTGCACTAGGCTCCTGTTGGCGGACTTCAGGACTCTAATTAAAAACCCCCGAAGATGATCTTGCAAGTCTGAAGTCTGCCCACTGCTGCTGCAAATAACGAAGCCGATTTCTTTTCAGCGTGGGAAGGGAGTTAGCCACTGAAGCAGCCGAAGGATCTTGTGACAGGATCACCCACTTAAAGCGATATTGCTTTCTGAATTTATCCCAAACCAAGATATTAAAAGCACAGGATATCTGATGGAGGTGCAGGGAGGGAACTGAGATGCATAACCCTGTGATGACAAAGCACATTTTAGTGACTGAATCAAACTGCTATTTCTCGCTCCCTTCTTTCCCACCTCCTCTTCCCTCTTCCTGGATCCATTTAAGTCAGGGCTGGGAAAGCTGTTGTTGGAGTCCAATGACACCTGGAGGGTCACAGTCTCCCCATTTGTGGTTCATGGAGAAGGGCTGGAGCTCAGTGGGACAGCATCTGCTTTGCATGTATAAGGTCCCAGGTTCAACCCCTGACAGCTCCAGGGAGGTCCTCAAGGAGGGCACAGATCTGCATATGTTAATTTAGATATATAGCTGCCAATTTAAAAAGGAGAAAAACCATAGGTCTGACCGTAGTGGGGACCAGGGGACCACTTGGCTCAATGCACGGTCTAGGTGCTGCTAATTGTACAATGATTCTTCAACATCAACTTCGTTGGACTGGTCATCTTGTGTGGATGCCTGATGATCATCTTCCAAAGCAACTACTCTATTCCAAACTTAAAAATGGAAAGCATAATGCTGGTGGTCAACAAAAGAGGTTTAAAGACTGTCTCAAGGCAAATCTTAAAAAATGTAGTATAGACACCGTCAACTGGGAAACACTGGCCTGCGAGTGCTCCAGTTGGAGAACAGCCTTTACCAAAGGTGTCATGGGCTTTGAAGACACTTGAACTCAGGACTCAAGGGAGAAACGTGCTAGGAGGAAGGCACGCCTGGCAAATCCACACCGTGATCAACTCCCGCCCAGAAACCAATGTCCGCACTGTGGAAGGATGTGTGGATCCAACGATGGCTTTAGCAGGGTTTTGGGTGCGACACTCCTCTTTTGTTTATTGAAATATTTCTAGAGCATACTTTCATTTTTTTAAAAATAAGCAGATACTCAGCACCATGTTCTCTGAGCTATAGTGAACCGTAAGAATTGTTTCCCAGAGTTCTACATTTATTCACTATTCAAGGCATATATATTCTACCCTTTGGCCTCAAAAGCTCCTAGAAAGGCTTACAAATCTGTAAGAAAAGCACAGTCTCTGCCCTTAGGATCACAAAAGACACAGCATAAGAAAGAAAAAGCGAGGAGGAAGCAAAGGGGAAAGAACAGACTTAGGCAAATATATATATATATTATTAATGCCACAAGGCTCTTGTAATGACCAGGTTGTATGGAAACAAGCTACTTGCTGTTTAAAAAAGTAGGGGTAGAGGTAGCTTGGACTGAAGATGGAAGCTTCTTGGTCATTTTAAAAAAATGTTATTTCTTGTAAAAAACACTTTCCATTTAGTAAGGTAGGACATCCCAGAGAAAATTTTAATGACAAAAGCTTTTTAAAGAGGCACTGCTAACTAGGCTCAGAGTTAGCATCAAATAAATCATTTCACTACTATTGCCACAGACACAAACTGTTTCCCCCCCTCAAACTAATCAACAAAGCTTTACGGCATTTTCCCCACTTCTAAGATGGTTACTAGTTCAGGGAGGGTTCAGATGTAATACCATGCTTCTATAAGAGGCTGAATTTGAAGGAACATAGATAGAAAATTATGGAATGAAAAATCCAGATATAGTTTCTATGAAAGATGCACACCAATAGGAGCCTAGTGTCTTCGCTATGAATCTTTCCCATTAAAACTGTGCTATGAATCTTTCCAATGGAAACTGCATTGATGTTCCATTCTGACGTAGGTTTTTTTAAAAATGTGTATCGCTCAACATTTATCGTTCCATCATTATTTTTGAAGAGGGAAATCTCTACATTTTAGAAACTGTCTTTCAAATAGAACATGACCTTATTTGTCCAAGACTCGCAGGATGTGCGTTTGCACAGAGGCCTGCACAAACAGAATCAGGTTACAGAGGACTCAACAAATTTGGACAAACTGAAGTTTCAGATCACAAGGCGGATTCAGTGCTCTGGTCACCTATGAATTCACAATGATGTCAACAGATATTACAACAGGGATATTTAAAGTCATTGTGAACAGTTTTTGTTTTTTTTACCGCTCTCTTAAAATTTTGAAGTTTTGATTCTTTTCAAAACTTTTGATTGGAATTCTTATTTTTGTGTGCTCTTCTCTGGGCACAGTCATCTAGTTTTACTCAGAGTAAACCCACTGAAAATAATTAACTGGACTGAGGGGATAGCAATCTTAGACGCAAGAAGCTAGCTTCAGTAAGCCAGTGTAGCTTAAGGAAGCATAATAATAATAATAATAATAATAATAATAATAAATTATTATTTATACCCCACCCATCTGGCTGGGTTTCCCCAAGCCACTCTGGGCGGCTTCCAACAAAATATTAAAATACAGTGGTCTGTTAAACATTAAAAGCTTCCCTAAACAGGGCTGCCTTCAGATGTCTTCTAAAAGTCTGGTAATTGTTTATCTCTTTGACATCTGGTGGGAGGGCGTTCCACAGGGCGGGTGCCACTACTGACAAGGCCCTCTGCCTGGTTCCCTGTAACTTGGCTTCTCGCAGGGAGGGAAGTACCAGAAGGCCCTCGGCGCTGGACCTCAGTGTCTGGGCAGAATGATGGGGATGGAGACGCTCCTTCAGGTATACTGGACCGAGGCCGTTTAGGGCTTTAAAGGTCAGCACCAACACTTTGAATTGTGCTCGGAAACATACTGGGAGCCAATGAAGATCTTTCAGGACCAGTGTTATATGGTCTTGGCGGCCACTCCCAGTCACCAGTCTAGCTGCCACATTCTGGATTAATTGCAGTTTCTGAGACACCTTCAAAGGTAGCCCCACGTAGAGCACATTGCAGTAGTCCAAGCGGGAGATAACTAGAGAATGCACCACTCTGGTGAGACAGTGCACAGGCAGGTAGGGTCTCAGCCCGCGTACCAGATGGAGCTGGTAAACAGCTGCCCTGGACACAGAATTAACCTGTGCCTCCATGGACAGCTGTGAGTCCAAAATGACTCCCAGGTTGTGCACCTGGTCCTTCAGGGGCACAGTTACCCCATTCAGGATCAGGGAGTCCTCCACACCTGCCCACCCCCTGTCCCCCAAGAACAGTACTTCTGTCTTGTCAGGATTCAACCTCAATCCGTTAGCTGCCATCCATCCTCCAACCACCTCCAGACACTCACACAGGACCTTCACCTGTGTTGGAGAAGGAAGGTAGCTCAGTGGTAGAGCAGAAGGCGCCAGGTTCAATTCCCAGCAGCTCAAGGTAGGGCTTGGAAGAGTCTGGACTAGACCTTGTTGTTAACCTGTCTTCATCTGTCTTTATAACACTGTGTTTTACATCTCTCCTCTCCCCTTGCGATGCTGCTTTCCTGTTTGCTTTCTGCATTTTTTTGCCTTCCGCTTTGAGATGCTAAGCTTTTCAGAAATGCTTTGAAAGGAATGTGTAAGAGAAACCAAGCGTCAGCTGTAACCAATTTTTGAGTGTGCCTCTTTCTCCTCCAGGGTACCATCGTGAATGGCTGAGGTAACAGCTGTGCCATACTTCTGAAGGGCAGTGGAGCCTGAGAGAGGTGGAGGCGGCAAAAGGATTCTCTGCCAGTGTCCAGTTGTGTTTGAAGGCCTGTCAGCATTCTGCATATCTGCTGCCCCCTGTCAACGTGTCTTTGCACTAGAGGCTGACTCTGATCTTCTCTGTCACTGCGATTTCTGTGTGGTCTCAACTCCATGGAAGCTTCCCCTCCAGGGGAGCTTAGGATCTTAAGCCTTAGCTGGCCTCCAGCGCTGCCCTATGAACGATGCCAAGATCTTCTGTTTGCCAAGGCTCTGAGAAAGCTTGCCCAAGAGAGACCTGTTTTAATTAATATTTTAATTTCCTCGAGAAGATTGAGCAGGTTGAGGGTTGAGCAAACGTGCAGTGGCCTTCCATTTCTCCGTACTTCTAATATGCGGAGGTTATTTCTTCTCTTGCCTGTCCTGAATGGAAATCTGTTGGGTGGTAAGCACCAGCGGTCAGCTGATGGGGGAGGCCAGTCTGCTATCATGCTGATAACAGCAACCTGATTTGTAGAAATCAGCAGGCAACCCTTTTCACAGCATGGGGATAAATGATAACTAGCAATGTCTAAGCACTGATATATTGCGAACCCAGAGCATAGCTACAGTGGCTATGTTGACAACTCTATTTTGCCTTGTATCTACCTTAAAAATAAATAAATAAGTATAATTTCAGAGTTGCTATTTTTCAAAATCCAGCCCCTTCCCTTTTGATCCCAATAATAATAATAATAATAATAATAATAATAATAATAAATAAAATAAAAATAAAAATTACCAGTGCTATTTTTTATAGAAATAGCCACCACAAACTTTTCCCTTGTTCTCTTAGAATGGAAATGGCACCCACCTGAGAGGTGAGCTCTGGTTGGGAAAAAAGCCCTGATTATTACTGTTATTATGACTATGCTACCACTCAGTGGATTTGTCACTGGCTGACTGACCAAACCCAAAGGGTGCTCATCAATGGTTCCTCTTCATCCTGGAGAAGAGTGACTAGTGGGGTGCCACAGGGTTCTGTCTTGGGCCCAGTCTTATTCAACATCTTTATCAACGACTTGGATGATGGACTCAAGGGCATCCTGATCAAATTTGCAGATGACACCAAATTGGGAGGAGTGGCTAACACCCCAGAGGACAGGATCACACTTCAAAATGACCTTGACAGATTAGAGAACTGGGCAAAAACAAACAAGATGAATTTTAACAGGGAGAAATGTAAAGTATTGCACTTGGGCAAAAAAAAATGAGAGGCACAAATACAAGATGTGGGACACCTGGCTTGAGAGCAGTACATGTGAAAAGGATCTAGGAGTCTTGGTTGACCACAAACTTGACATGAGCCAACAGTGTGACGCGGCAGCTAAAAAGCCAATGCAATTCTGGGCTGCATCAATAGGAGTATAGCATCTAGATCAAGGGAAGTAATAGTGCCACTGTATTCTGCTCTGGTCAGACCTCACCTGGAGTACTGTGTCCAGTTCTGGGCACCACAGTTCAAGAAGGACACTGACAAACTGGAACGTGTCCAGAGGAGGGCAACCAGAATGGTCAAAGGCCTGGAAACGATGCCTTATGAGGAACGGCTAAGGGAGCTGGGCATGTTTAGCCTGGAGAAGAGGAGGTTAAGGGGTGATATGATAGCCATGTTCAAATATATAAAAGGATGTCACATAGAGGAGGGAGAAAGGTTGTTTTCTGCTGCTCCAGAGAAGTGGACACGGAGCAATGGATCCAAACTACAAGAAAGAAGATTCCACCTAAACATTAGGAAGAACTTCCTGACAG